AAATTCCAGTGAAATATATTTATGTTTGTGGTTGTAATGTGACAAAATATGGAAAAGTTCAAGGGGTATGAATACTTTTGCAAACCACTGTAACTATATGAAATAATTACTTTTATTCTGTAGCTGAACAAACTGAAAACAAGCAGCTTTAACGAAGAAACAATATGCAACACTACTATGTAAATTGTTTTAGACACAACTTACTACAGATTTAGTCATAACTCATCACCAAATGCATAATAGAATTAAACTTTTTAAATTTAGATTTTTGTGTTTAGAAAAGCTGGAATATGTTTTAGTTTTCACTCATTTGTTTCTTTAGTTTTTTGACTAATGTCAAACACTTTCAAAGAGTTTCTTGTATGGTTTAAAACTGTCAGCTCTTACATCTGTAATGGTCTGTGTGTGATATTACATCACCTTTCATTTTCTTTTCATTCACAAATTTTCTTTCTTGTATGTCATCTCTATTGTTTGGTCCAGATGCACACAGGCTAATTTATACTCACTAACRGTGACCTGTGTGTCCATGTGCGGGCAACAAGGTTCTGCAAATTTCYATAATGGGAAGTCAGACTGGATTCAGCCCTCACACCAAGGATGTTGGGACTCGAGGCCCCTGTGTCCAAACCGTGAGAGACACAGCAGAGGTAAAATGAAGAATCAAGTTGCTAACTTATATTTAATGACCAGTTTGATGCCAAAAGATTTTTTAAAAAGTTTGTTTTAAAGGCTTTTAAAGCTACTTTGTTGGAAGAAAAAGTGAAATTATATAAGACATGCATTTTTTTAATACTAAACTTAGTTTTACTCAAAATCGCCTCATCTAACTCTCATCATATTATTCATTAGCTGGCAGAAGGAAAAACTGTAAAGCCTGCGTTTGAAAAGATGTTGCACAGAGTGACTATCATCTCTGGTATTAAAGATAAAAAAGAAGATTGTCTTAAAGACACATGATAAAAAAGGACACACAAAGGCAATTAGGATATTTTATGCTGCAAATGTTCATCACTCCAAAAGAGACACACAAGAAGACAAATTATTTGTGTGATGATCATTGTTGCTTCAAGACATGAGTGTTTTTGACCGATGCATTCATAAGAATGTTCCATCCTGAACAGAGAGGGAGAGCAGAAGAGGATCATGTGACACAAGTCAGACTGAACCTGGCGCCTACTTGCTTCTCAGGGGTCACACTGGGTTCATCATGTAGCTAATGTGCCCATTGCTAAATATACAATCATACATACACAYATGCACACACAATCAGCAAGAAGTGTGCAGAAACTAAAGCAGTTGTGATACATGATCATGCAAACTGAGAACATATAAACAACTTAAGACCAACCTTTTATTCTTGTGACATAAATCCTGTTTATTTGTCCCTCTAGATTATATTGAATAAAATGCTTTTCATTTTCCACCACTGCCACAAAATCACAGCATGTAGACATCAATATGTTATCCATTTTCTCTTGTGTTCATGGTTTTACACACACACACACACACACACACACACACACACACAC